CATATCCTAATATTTTTTTTTGGCTCTCATTTGATCGACATATCAACGAAATCGTGTGAGAGAAAAGAAGAGGAGAGGAGAGGGATTTTTCTGCACAGCCCCATCCAGCACCAGCCATGTGTTCTGGAGATTCCCGGAGTTCCAACCGTTGGATCGTTGTGATTTTTGGTTATGTTGTTCTTTACTCTCTATTCTTGATTCTCACCGACGGGATTTTGATTTGGAGGTTCAGAGATTGAGTTCTGGCTCTGAATCGGAAGCTGTCTTGTTCTGCTTCCAGCCCTACTTAGCTTCATCTTCTTCAGCGTTTCGGCAGTCATCCTTTGTCAGATTGAGCTGATTTTTGGTGAGCATGTTCCTAACATCCAATTCTTGATTCTGGCCGATCAGTTTAATTTTTGGATGAGTAGAACATTTTTAAATGTACTGAGAACAGTAGCTGTATTTTGTGATCACTCCATTGTGTTGCTACACATTTGTTTGTGGTTGTTTGTAGTATAGCTACATTTTTTGTGGTTGTAGCTTGCTGTAATTTGTAAGACAATATTTGTGATAGTGAACTTTATTTCCTTGGACCGGAGGAGAGGTCCCGTGGGTCCCGTTGGTTTTTATCCTTCACACCGTAGGGAGTTCTCCACGTAAAAGAATTTTGTTCATAATGGTGAATGTTATTTTGTTGTGTATTGATTTGGCGACCAGCTGTGGTGAATGTTATTTTTGATTGTGTATGATTTGGGACAGCTTGTGTTGCTTGAATTTGTTGCTCATTGTTACTCCTAATAGATTCATTCAAGGGGGGAAGTTTTTGTTGTGAGGTCAGATTTTGTGTTACTTCCCATAAAAAAAAACCCCTTTAATTTCTCTTAAAATAATATCACCAATTATGTTCTAGTAATCTGGAAAAACCTGGCTTGAAAGCCATCTATTCCCGGGGCCTTCCATGGTTTCATGTCAAAAAGAGCTTCTTTGCACTTCTAACAAATTTACATAGCTCGCTAAATCCTGTAATAAAGAGTTAGGAATAACCAAAAAATCATTATTCAAAGGAAAGGAGTTTGCTGGACAAGGTTCTACTGAATACAACTTATAATAGAAACTGAAAGCCATATTCAAAATAAGTGACTGATCCTCAAACCAATTTCTGAATCATTCTTGAGAGCCTCAATCTTGTTATGCCTTCTCTTATGAATGATTTTTCAAGTGAAAAAAGAGGTACTCATGTCTCCATCCACTAACCAGTTAGATCTCGACTTCTAATACCACAACAATTCTTCTCTTTTCAGTATAACCTCCAATTCTCTTTTGAGATTCAACTCTAATTTCACCAGAGAAGGATAATGTCCCAAGTTAAGCTTCCACTGAAATACCCTCAATGTGGGCCATAAGTCTACGTTTTTTATAGAAAATATTAAAAAAAAAAAATTCATGATTTGATCTTTTGAGTTTACTAGTGAATCCCAAGAGAGATGCCATGAGAGAGTCATCATTATTCCAATTCTTAGTCACAAAGCTGGTGAAGTCCGAATGAGAAAGCCAAGCAGCCATAAACTGGAAGGGAGAGGTATTGCAAGGCTTCCGTTTAAATTAAGATTCAGTAAAAGAGGTCAGCGATCGAAAATAATTCTGCCCGATGAGAGAGTGTAGCTTCCGAAAAGCTAAGCTGCCAAGGAGAATCAGAAAGAGCCTGATCTAATCTTTCTAGTAGGTTACCTCTTTTCCAGGTGAATTGAGATCCTCTAAAACCAAGGTCAATGAGTTGAGAATTGTAATACCAATTATTAGCAATGATTTTACTAATTCCTGAACTCTTCTTAGACACCACCCCCCCCCCCACCACCACCCCCCCCCCCCCCCCCCCCCCCCCCCCCCCCCCCCCCCCCTTTCTTTTCTGATGGCTTAGAATAGCATTAAAATCACCTAGGAGAATCTACGCAATTTATCATACTTAGTACTATTAATTTCCTCGAGCTCTTCCATAACCCCCCCCCCCCCCCCCCTTTCTTTCTGATGAGCTTAGAATAGCATTAAAATCACCTAGGAGAATCTACGAATTTATCATAGTACTATTAATATCCTCGAGCTCCTTCCATAATGACATTCTTTTCAACGGCTGAGGGCTAGCATGTATTGCAGTAGCTTCCATTAATGGCTTTCCAAACTTGGATATACCAAAATGAATGAATTGAGAGTTGTTGATTAGAATTTGAATATCCCATTCCTCATCCCACAATAGCCAAGTTAAAGCTGCAAAACTTGAAGCTTCGACTCTATGAGAGCGATTAAATCCAATTTTCTGAATGTGGAATCTGCCATTCCTCCACTAGTTCTAGGCTTCAATAGAATCAGAAATATGGCTTATGAGTAGAAATAAAAGTTTGAGAGTGCCTAGGAAAATGCTACTTCCTACTCCCTGGCAATTCCAAATCATAATAGACATCGATATAAGATAAACGCAAAGAAAACACAAAAGCCTATTAAAACATCAATAATCAGGTCTTGGTGATCGTTATTGATAGAGAATTCCACAATATCCTTTGCATCTTCAATATCTTCAAATTCATCCATATCATCCTCTTCATTATTCCCTTTCCCCTAGAAGAAAGGAGGATGCACAGGAATATATGCTTTTGTGGGAGAGAAATTTTTGGTGGGATTAGGTTTGGGGAGAAGGGAATACTCTAACTGTTGTGTGATGGTTTGAATTTAATTTATTACTAATGGAGACCATTGATACTTCCATCAGGTTTCTAGTTTTAAAAGCAAAGAAATTACCAAGGGTAGGCTTTTCAGGTTTAGTTGGGGATTTTGGTCGTTTGTTTCCAATAGTGGGTTGGTGCATGAGTGAATTTCCTCTGTTCTCTTTAGTTTTACTATTAGGAAACTGGATCCTTCGAGAATCAGTGCTTGATTGATAGTTAGAGATTTTTCGTGGTTGGGGATGGTGACTTTCCATACAAACACTAACAGCTTCCATATTTTCTTCCCTCTCATTATTGTTGATGGCACCATTAGGGATGGCAATTTTATCCAACCGGCAAGTATCGGATCCAATCTGATTCGATTTTAGCGGATTCAAATAGTGAATAAACGGATTTGGGACGGGTTTGAATAATTTGTTTTACTACACACATCAGGTTCAAATTTAAGGACTTGGGTACCTACTACCTGTTACCCGTTTAATTAATATTCAAAAAATATATAAAATAATTTTTAAAAGAGAATTATATATACACACACTTTTTTAATTATAATTAATGCTATAATTATATTTAATATTTATGTTATATTTTTGTTAATCAAAATAATAATTTTATAAATTCTTACCTTACTTTTTATTTTTGAAAAATAAAAAAATATATATATTTTAATGTTAAACGCGTATTTAAATGGGTAATTGTAATTGGGTTTGGGAACGGATTCTGATACTAAAGATGAATTTTTAGATGGGTTTGAGTATCTAATTTTTAATTGGGTTTGGATTCTTGAGAGTGGATTTTAAGCAGATACCCAACTCATTGACATTTCTAAGCAGTAGGCACCATCCTTGCCTAAAATCCAAAACCTTGATCCGACTTTTCCAAAATGATGATCTCCTATTTGTCTCTCCTTGGTGCTCCACTACCAGCGGTGGGGCTTTCATTGGACCACCATCCATGGCCCAAAACCTGAGGCATGTTCATTTCCTCTACTTTCATTGCTCTTTTCAATTGCATCCATTTGGTTTCTACCTTGATTCTCTTCCCTTAGTGGACATAAGTTTTCTCTATGACCTATTCTGCCATAAGAATAACATTTCTCTGCCCTTCATATTCAACTGTTTGTTCAAAGTCATTAATGATGAACTTAGAAACCAGTGGAACTCCACCCAAATGGCTAATCTAGGAAACTTCTCATTTAAAGCATCCTCTGTCTAATAGTCTATCTTAACCACTTTATGAATAACGTCTCCAATCACTCTAAGCAGCTTCCTGTGATACAAGTGTAAGGGAAGGCTTGGGAGTCTTGCCCATACTACAATTTTTTGAAAGGAAAAATTGTCCACTCTAAACTTCAGTGCCCAGGGCTGAACTATCAAATAACTCCCTAGCATGGTCAAAGGTCCCTCAAGCAAGGCACGATAGTAATCTGTTTCCTGATCAAATTTGACAAGGAAGAGGTCATTCCCCATATCTAGAAGTTTCATTCCATTAGGTTTCTAAAGATTAGAAGTTCTCAATTACATTGCCTTGTATCCAATTTTCTGGCCCCATAGTTTTATCACTACTGAAAGTCTCCACTTCCTAGAGAGATGATCTTAAAAGTCCTTTGAATTCTGATAATCAGAATAGAACCCGATATGTTGATTACAAACTTCTCAGTTGGGCATTCATCACAAGAGGAGTCTAAATTTGTTCATCCATATCCATGTCCGCGCGTTGTACTATCTTATCTCGAAAAGAAATCGACGCAACCTAGGGAGGATTGAGAAAGGGAGTATTAGCCTCCATGTGCTTAACTTTCTTTGTAATTTGGTTATCCTTCGCCCTAGGTGTTGGTTCATCGAGAGTAAGAGAGAGCATGAGAGAAAATTTCATTGCCTAGTATTTGTTACTTAATAATATTATTATTATAATATCAAGAATAAGAAAACCATTAAGACATTTACTTAATATCTTTGTTGAACATTTGGTACAAAGGCTTATTTTCGGTTTAATTTCATTTGAAGTGCCCTAATTTACAGGGTATTCATTTTACAGTCCTCATCTTCATTGTCTTTTAAAACTGTTTTAACTTATATATTTATAACACAAAAGTCATTTTAGCAGGAAAAGTTATCAGACACCTGACGCGGCTTGCTAAAGATATTTTTAAAATAATATTTTGCTCACATTAGTAATAAATTCAAAGTTTGATTTTTCTCTAACCAAAACATTTAACTTTTTCTACTGTATTTCTTCCCTCCTACCCTATTTCGTCTCTCCTACCCTATACGCTGTCTATGGTTACATGTGGTCGTACGACATAACGACACGATAATTTTATATATAATATTTCTATATTATATCTTTCTGTATTATATATTTTTCTATTTATATTTATATTTTATATATTTTCTTATTTTTTATTTTAAATTTAATATATTAAATATTAAAATTAACTTGTCGTTAGTTGATTAGAGGCAGCAATGATTCATTCGAGTGGTACGCTGAGTGGACTGTGCTCCGATAACCTCTTCTCTCCATCCTCGACGGAGCTATTGCCCCTACTTCGCTGCAAGTTCTTTTGCCTAGTTGCAGCAGTTCGAGATTATCAGAGCATTTATACGACGCAAGGTTAAAGATATTACTAATATTGATTTCTCGAAAGTTGTGATTCCCGACATACTTAGGAGGAATGTGAGAAAACGGCCTGGGATGCGGTGGCGCATAATGGACATGACCACCATGCAGGTCCGTTTGGGAAATGTTTACTATTTCTGTGTATTTTGAAAACTTCTGGAAACATTTTCAAATGCTTTAAATTTCATTCTCATTATTTGTTTTAATCTTATTATTATTTTACTGACTGTTACTTTGTTTACCAGTTTGCAGGTGAGGCATTTGATGCAGTTGTTGAAAAAAGTGGATTGAATGCTTTGATGGAGCCAGAGCTTGGGCCTAAGCAGGGTAGTCAATATTTGACAGAGGTTGCATTGGATTTTATTTTGGGTTTTGTGCTTAGTAGTTTAGTTTGATTGGTGTTGGAGAAGGAATAGGGCAGGAGAGAAGAAATAGGATAGAAAAGTTAAATCTTTGGGTCAAGAGTGAGAAAATCAAATTTTGAAGTTATTGCTGATGTGGTCAAAATATTATTTTTAAAATAATTTCGGCAAGCCACGTCAAGTGTTCAACAGTTTTTTCTACCAAAATGACTTTTGTATTACAAATATGTAACTTAAGACAGTTTTAAAAACAATATTAAGATGAAGGATTGTAAAGTGAGGCTCATAATTTGAGCAACCTTGAGTGAAATTAAGATCTTTCCTAAACAAAGAGATGAGTAAATATTTACATTAGGATGGTATTTAAAAATTTTTAAAAATAATAACAAAAAGGAAGAGAAAATAAATTATTTAACTTTGATGGAATGAAAATAAATCGAGGAGAATTGTCGCTATACAAATAGAAATAATTTTTACTAGAATTGAATTTGTTTATACTTGGATTTGGAGGATAATGAATTTTAGGGGCAACTTAGCAAATGTTAGAAATTAGGTTTCTATATTTAAGAAATGTCAAAAATAAAAAAATAAAAAAATTAAGAGAGTGTTAATATTGGTTAAAAATAAATTAGTAATTCCCAAACTATACTTATACAGCTTTTGTGATTTTACAAAGAAGACAACAACAGCAATGATGATAAGCGGCGACAACGACAACAACGACAATAAAATGGTAAAATAGTAAATGGATAGCGAAAATGAGTTTAATTTGATATTTAGGTCAAACTGACATTTTTTAAAATAAAGTTTCAAAATATGACATTTATTACAATGTCTTACCTTATTTGTATTAAATGAACTAGTTATTGTGTAATATTTTAAGAGGTAATTTAATCAAATTAATAAATATTTTATTTTAGTTTATGAAAATCAATTGCTTTTTCAATTGCAATAAATTCAAATAACTTATATTTATGACGAAGAGAGTGTTAAGGCCTAGTTTACCAATAGCTTCTAAGCTAGTTTTTAAAGTTTTAATCGGGTCAAAACTCTATATTTATTAATTATATTGTTTGGCTTTTAGCATTCTGAATAGGTAAAAAGTCTCTCTCTCTAGTAATTGTACTATTCGCTGATATAGTATTTATAATTGCTTTAGAAGTCAATGGACTTTTTTTATCATTTTTTTTTTTTTTTTTTAGCATTCTGAAATAGTAAAAAATCTCCTCTTTCTCGTGGGTTATTGTACTATTCGCTGATATAGTATTTATAAATTTGCTTTAGAATCAATCGGACTTTTTTTTATTCTATTTTTCTTTTTTTTTTTTTTTGAGAGAAACCAAAACAGACTTCATTAACTTAATTATTCATTTTTTTTTTTTTTTTTGAAGAAACCAAAAGCTTCATTAACTTAATAATAGTCCAACAAATATACAGGAATATCATCCCAAACCTAAAAGCAAGAATGAGCAATGGAAGCTCTAGCTAGAGTATGAGCTGTCAAAGTTGCTTGCCTACGAACCCATTGCACAGAAATATCAACACGAGAATCTAAAATATGTCTACAATCAGAAAGCAAAACTCGTAACTCAGAATTATCAAGAGTATGATTAAATAGAGCCTGGACAACTTGTTGACAGTCCGAAATAAAGCATACGTTAGGAGGTAAAAACTCAGCTACAAACAAAAGACATTGATGCAGGCAAGGGCCTCAATGATCGCCCGCGAACCATTACCTTCTGAGAATCCAGATACCGCTCTTTGAAATATACCTTCAGCATTTTCAATAACAAAACCAAAGCCCACATAGTCTTGGGCAGAGAAAATCGCACCATCCACTTGGCACAACCAATCGAATGAACCATAACATTAGCCACAGGTTGTAGACGACGTCCCTGTAGACCTGAAATCATACTGCCTGGATGTTGATGAGAGCATATCGAACTAGCAGTTGGGATCTCTTCAACGTGAGCACATTTCCAATCTTCACACCATTTAACTGCTACAACATGTATTTGAGTAGGAGATAGACTAAGGTGCTGCCATAGCTCATTATTACGAGCAGCCCACATTTTCCATGCAACAATTGCACATTCCGATGTTTTTCCAACTCTTTTTAAGGACAAAACCTGGAGTAAAAATTTAGAAAAAATAACGTTAGACTGTAGGCCATCCAACCCCACATTCCTCCATACCTCCTTCGCTTAGGATAATGAATAAGCACATGGTCCCTACTCTCATCACCATTACACCATAAGCATCTAGCCTCAACCTCAACCCCCTACATCTAAGATTATCATGAGTAGGCAATAAGTTCCTATTTGCTCTCCAACAAAAATCCTTCACCTTTGGGGGTACATTCAACTTCCATAATTTTGGCCAAATTTCACCATTTTTTTTAGATGGCTCTCTCCCCAAACCTCCCAAACTCACATAGTAACCCGACTTGATCGTATACATTCCCTTCTTATCAAATTGCCACATAAACACATCCTCTCGATCAAAGCAACTAATCGGGATACCCACAATTGCTCTAATATCTCTCATTAAAAATAAATCTAAGAGCTTTGCAATATCCCACTTCTTTCGGCTCCCATAAAAAAGGTCACAAACTCTAACATCCGGATCAATGAACTCCACCCCATCATCGGTAAGGAAAGAATTTCCGGATCAATGAACTCCACCCCATCATCGGTAAGGAAAGAATTATCTTTCGGAATCCATAGGTCACTAGTTGCCCTAATCTTCTTCCCATCACCAACCCTCCAATGCACACCCTTCTTAAGAATAGTAGTAGAGGAAACCACACTCTTCCAAATCAAGCTTGGGTAATGACCCTCAGCAGCATTCAAAAAAGCCCCCTCCAGGAAATATTTGGCTTTGAAAACTCTATAACAAAGAGTGTCGGTATTGGACAAAAATCTCCATGCCTGTTTCCCCAATAATGCCATATTAAAACTTCTAAAATCAAGGAAAGCCATTCCTCCCTCTTTTTTACTACCACACATCCTTTCCCACGCTAGCCAATTAATACCCTTCCTCTCATCCTTTCCCACGCTAGCCAATTAATACCCTTCCTCTCCTCTTGCTTACCTCCCCACCAACATCTATTCATTATCTTATGAAGCTCATCTAGCAAAGTCACAGGTAACAAAAATTTGTTAACTTGGCACACTGACTTAATTAACTTCTCCCTACCAGCTCGAGATAAAAATTTGTTATTCCACCCATTAATGCGTTTCCAAATCCTTTCTTTTAAAAAATTGAAAATCTACCCTTGCTTTTACCAATAAGAGAAGGTAACCCCAAATAAGAACCATGCCCCAAGGGTAAATGCACATCAAGTAGATTACAAATAGAAGACTCAACACTATTCGACACATTGGGACTAAACATGATACCTGACTTATTAAAGTTAACTGCCTGACTCGAAGCAGCTTCATAAGTAGATAAAATATTCTTCACCATCACTGCCTCCTCCACACTAGCCTTAAAGAACAACAATAAGTCATCTGCAAATAAAAGATGAGACACTCTAGGACATCTCACCCCCGCTTTACAACCATGAATTCTCCCACGTACTTCTGCCTCTCTAAGAAGCAACGAGAGACCTTCCGCACACACCAAATACAAGTATGGGGAAAGAGGGTCCCCTTGTCTCAATCCACGCCGAGGATTAACAGGACCAATAGCTTCCCCATTTAAGCTAATAAAATAGGACACCCCCGTGAAGCACATAGACAACCAGTTAACCCACTTATCTGCAAAACCAAATCTAGACAACAAAGCCTTCAGAAAAACCCAATGCACCCTATCATAAGCCTTACTAATATCAATTTTCAAAGCATAAGAACCATTACGTCTCCTTTTATTTTTCCTCAAATTATGAACAAGCTCAAATGCAACCATCACATTATCAGTAATAAGTTGCCCAGGAACAAATGCAGATTGGTTCTCAGAAATAATAGCAGGCAAAATTTTTTTGAATCTGTTCGTTATAGCTTTAGACACAATTTTATATAATACAATGCATAACGCTATGGGCCGATAATCTTTGATAAGTTCAAGGTTCTCAATTTTTGGAATAAGAACAATTAAAGTTTCAGTAAGCTTAGTTGGAAAAGTACCTTCTTGTAACCACCTACGACAGTCATCAGAAATATCATCACCGATCAAGTGCCAGAATTTTTTGTAAAATACCGAGTTTAGACCATCCGATCCAAGAGCCTTATCCGAGTGCATTTGGAAGAAGGCCTCTCTAAACTTCTCATTAGTGAAATCTGCGCATAACCAATCATTATCTGCCGCACCAACCTTATTAGGAATCAGTCTCAGCACTTCATTACAATTCGAAACACCCCCATCAAAAATACTGGTGAAGTAATCAATAATATGCAATTTCAGGTGCTGCTCATCCGCAATCCATATCTCATCAGACCCTTTAAGCTTCTGAATCAAGTTCCTTCTTCGCCTGATTTTAATATAAGCATGAAAAAACTTGGTGTTGCAGTCACCATGCTTAAACCAAAACAATTTAGCTTATTGTTTACACCGAATATTTTCCTAAGTCAGCAACATATTCCATTCCTCCTTCAAAGCACGAATAGAGGTTGAATTATCTTGAATACTGCAATTCTCCAACATTGTTTTGATAATTTTTCTACGCTGCCAATTGTCTCTATTTCACCTTTTACCCCAATGTGATAACTCCTCTACCAATTTATTTTGCTTCTCAATCACGTTACTTGAATTATTAAGAGTCCAAGAATCATGAACCACCTCAGCTAGGTCTTCTTCTAAAAACCATGCATTATCGAATCAGAAGCTTTTACTCACTCTTCTATCATCCTTTGGCGCATTATTATTTATCAATGGACAGTGATCCGAGACTAGAGTAGAAACCACATTATAGACTGCTGAACTAAAACTTTGTGCCCACTCCCATGTTGAAACAACTCTTTCAAGCCTCACCCTGATTCTATCATCTCCATCACTGCCATTATCCCAGGTAAAAAATGGACCCACAGTAGGAATCTAACGTAAGCTGCACTCTGCCAAGGCTTCCCTAAAACCATCAATCAAATAACTCGGTTGTGGCATCTCTCCCTTTTTTTCTTCCGAAGAAACAATGTCATTGAAATCCCCCGAACAAAGCCAAGGTCTATTATCTCTTCTAGCTAAAGCCCTCA